GCCTTTGGGCATCACCTGCCTGATGTGTCTTGGACTCTTTTCTGTCAGAGTGCAGTGACCTTTTGGCATCGTGTCACTTGATTTGTCTCAAATACCCAACTGGAGGACATTTCTTCCAGTGAAGTTACATAGGATGGAACTGGAGTAGAATGAGAAGTTTCAGATCTGAAATTCCTTCTATTTAGGGGAAAACTCTGAATAAAATTTGGTTCAACATTTTCCCACTTTTTGTTTTATGAGTTACAAGCATGTGAATTCCAGCAGATTGTTTCCATTTGGTTTTATACAACAGAATGAAGGAAACAATATTTTTTCAAGCTCCTTTCTTTCTGTACTTTCAGTCACAAGCTTGCAACTATTTTCCCAGAAATATTTGCCCCATTTGATTTTCAGCTTTTTTTCTGAAAAGAAAGTACGTGAAACTTTCATTTTTTTTCTGACTAAGCTACCTAAAAACCACATTAAAGACATATAGCACTAATGCTTAACTGATGTCTTTCAAAAGAATGCTCTTTCTCCATGATTTTATTTTATTTTATTTTATTTTATTTTATTTTATTTTATTATTTTATTTTATTTTATTTTATTTTATTTTATTTTATTTTATTTTATTATTTTATTTTATTTTATTTTATTTTATTTTATTTTATTTTATTTTATTTTTATTTTATTTATGTGGTGAGCATACCAAAGCCAATTCTAGAGGTTACCTAATTTATAGTATCTGTGGTTTCTACCTATAGATAGATAACACAACTATACTTGCCTGTTGACAAGTCTATGTGAAAACCCACTGTGAAACTGTGGAAAAATGGAATGCCACAACGTCTTACCAGGTTTCTTGGAAATTTACAGCAGCAATTTTGGGTGAGGAAAAGGGAGATGTGCTCACTTCAGTTATCACACTTCCATAACAATAGCAGCAAAAAAATTCCCAGAAGACTGCAGACAAAACAAAGCACAGGGGTAGGACAGACACTCAGAAGTAAACAGGGAATTTTCATGAGGAATTTTTGAAAGGGTTTGGGCTCAATCTCGTTGCAGGAATTAGATCTTGCAGAGATCTAATTCCTATTTGTTCTGCCTGAGGAATACCTCATCTTATTTATCTGAAGATAAGAGAATGCAAGATAGAGATTCTCTCTTGTGGGCAGAACCAAGCTGAGAAAGGGAGAAAATGAACCTGGCTTCTCTGCAGCTGGAATAAATCAGAGCATGCAATCATTTTATAAAATTGACACACATATAACCCTTTAAGATTATTCTGTTGCTGCATGACTTCCAGGTGATCAGGCTAAAATGGTCAATGCTGAATAACATAATTTACACAGATGTGAGAAAGTTTCCAGAAGTGTACTGAGAATGAGAAACCAATGGAAGAACCTTTCTAGTAAACTATTCATAGTTTAAATATTTAAATCCAATAGATTCTTTAAACACATTTCAGCCAAGTGGAGTCATGTAAATGAACCTGATAAAACATGCAAAAGTGGTGAAACAGCAATAGTTTCCTCTTGCTGTGAGCGGGGGTTAAGCTGCTTTTCAGATGGCTTTCACCTTCAGGCAGTTTAGAACACAGATGTATTGGAACAAGCCTATGATTTCTGAATACCTTTCATTTAAAGAAGGACTTTGTTTGCCATTCAGCAATTCTCATTTAAAGTTGCCCAATTTGGAATGATCCAGTAGTTCCTGTCCAAAGGAAAGTTAAATATCAAAATTTCTTTAGGAAACTTCTCATCTGTTTAAAGTGCAAGATACTTAAATCAAATTGATGCAATAACTTTATCTGCTTTCTTTTTTTTTTTTTTTTTTTTTATATTTTTTTTTTTTTTTGTTTTTTTTTTTTTTTTTTTTTTTTTTTTTTTTTTTTGCAACATCTACATTCAGAAAACTCTAAGATTAGTCAGTCTGTCACCCTGATTCTTAAGATTTTCTAAAGCCTTCTGAGTTTACATTATGTTAGAAAACTTTCCCACACATTTTCTATAAACAACATATTGTTTTGCATTTCTTTGTGGGGGTGGAGGAATTTGATGTACTGGTGGTTTGTCCAATGTCTTTGGAGAGGTGGCCCATTCACTCTCCAATCCACTGTCACCTTTGGAAAAGTATAAAAGTTGGAGTCAAAAAAATAAACTTTCTTCTTTTTTGCCTTGCCATCGCAGTGGCTCATGCTTTCTCGTGTCCTATAGCGACAGCCAGTCACCTTCTCCTCTAGGACTATAGTCAAACAAAAGGAAAAAAATGTTCCTTTGAGATTTATTTCAACAGTTTATAAATTGATTCTCTCTCGTGATGGCCCAGTGGGGTGGGCCAGTACTGGGTGACAAGAGATTTCATGGGGATGTAAGGCATGATGTCTTCATCCAGGCTCTTCCAGGCTAAGGGACAAGGAGGAAACTTGCTTTTGTGAGCTGCTGCCTCTGCCAGCGGTGTGGGGTGTGACTCATGGAAATGAATACCTACAAAGTGTGAGTCTCTCCTCCAACCCGAGCTTCCAAAGAAAATCTCCACAGCCTCTTGTTGTTCGGTCTCAAGGCAGTTTATTGCGAGTTATCTAAAAGATTTTCCTCTGGGGCTGCTGTGGTTTGCTCACAGCTCAGGCAGAGGCACACACACACCCTGACATCCTCTCTGACCCCGACTGCTTCTTCTCTCCCCGCCCAGGGCTGCTGCTGTCTTTTATATGGTACATTACATGTTACATGTTTACAGTTTTTCCCAATGCCTATTACCTATATCAAATGGTGCTTTTCTATCTTTTATATGGTACATTACGTGTTACATGGTTACAGTTATCCCCCAATACCTACTACCTATATTACAAAGTGCTTTTCTACTCTAAACTAATCTGTGAGTGCCAACATCACCAAGAACATGGAGGCAAGGAAGAAGAAGGAGGAAGAACAGGATCAGCCCACTTTCCTCCATCTTAGAACTTCTGACCCCCATGTACAAAGTAAAAACCCCCCTGTACAGGTGCTAAAACCCCCCTGTACAATATTAAAAAATTTCCCCTTTTGTTTTGTAACTACTTTTACTATGCTGTCTAACCCTTTGTGACTGCTTGTTCCACCTCCAAAGTTGGTAACCCATTCCATGGCTCAAACTCAAAATCACAGCTGTTTGCAGCTGCCTGCCAGGATCTAAAATGCTCCTGACCAAGGCCTGGAACCTCCAAAAAATGTCTGAGAGACATTTTGAGTTCCAACAACACAGAATGCTGCACAATTCTGTGCCTGTGTGGAGTCACAGAGCCAGAGGCTGAGTAGCTCAAACCACCCAAGAAGTTCAGTAATAATCCCTAAAGAGCATTACAGCTGAAATGCCTTATTGATGTTGTGAAACAAAACCATAGAAGTAAAAAGCTGGAGTCAGAGCGTGTGTTTGGCTGAGTACTCGGAGTGCAGCTGCCTCTTGGCAGTTTCATTTGTACCTGAATTACTGTAGCCAATTCCTGCATCGGGAAATAAGCCAGATATTTAAAAAGCTGAATGAAAGACTTATGTGTTTAAAGATCTCTGATAACCTTGCTGGGACTTTAANTGAATACCTACAAAGTGTGAGTCTCTCCTCCAACCCGAGCTTCCAAAGAAAATCTCCACAGCCTCTTGTTGTTCGGTCTCAAGGCAGTTTATTGCAAGTTATCTAAAAGATTTTCTTCTGGGCTGCTGTGGTTTGCTCACAGCTCAGGCAGAGGCACACACACACCCTGACATCCTCTCTGACCCCGACTGCTTCTTCTCTCCCCGCCAGGGCTGCTGCTCTCTTTTATATGATATATTACTTATTACATGTTTGCAGTTATCCCCCAATACCTGCTACCTATATTACCAAGTGCTTTTCTACTCTAAACCAATCTGTGAGTGCCAACATCACCAAGAACATGGAGGCAAGGAAGAAAAAGGAGGAAGAACAGGATCAGCCCACTTTCCTCCATCTTAGAACTTCTGACCCCCATGTACAAAGTAAAACCCCCCTGTACAGGTGCTAAAACCCCCCTGTACAATATTAAAAAATTTCCCCTTTTGTTTTGTAACTACTTTTACTATGCTGTCTAACCCTTTGTGACTGCTTGTTCCACCTCCAAAGTTGGTAACCCATTCCATGGCTCAAACTCAAAATCACAGCTGTTTGCAGCTGCCTGCCAGGATCTAAAATGCTCCTGACCAAGGCCTGGAACCTCCAAAAAATGTCTGAGAGACATTTTGAGTTCCAACAACACAGAATGCTGCACAATTCTGTGCCTGTGTGGAGTCACAGAGCCAGAGGCTGAGTAGCTCAAACCACCCAAGAAGTTCAGTAATAATCCCTAAAGAGCATTACAGCTGAAATGCCTTATTGATGTTGTGAAACAAAACCATAGAAGTAAAAAGCTGGAGTCAGAGCGTGTGTTTGGCTGAGTACTCGGAGTGCAGCTGCCTCTTGGCAGTTTCATTTGTACCTGAATTACTGTAGCCAATTCCTGCATCGGGAAATAAGCCAGATATTTAAAAAGCTGAATGAAAGACTTATGTGTTTAAAGATCTCTGATAACCTTGCTGGGACTTTAAAGCCTGTAAGAAAAAAGACATCTACATAATGAAATATATAGTTTGAGTTACATAGCAAAGTTAGTATGTTTCTACTTTTTCCCCACAAAAAGACTTGCATCACTTCTTGTGGAAGAGTTCAGTCCATATGTAAAACAAAAAGATGGTGGAGACCCATGCCCTGAAATGTCTTGAATTCAGTAAAGCATTTTTATCCTGCTATACTACTTAGCATATTTTGTATCCCATTCAGCTTACCATGCTTGTTAGAAATATCTAAAAAATTATGTTTTCTGATTTTAAATGAGCAAGATCAAAAGCTATAGCTTTAGATGATGGCATTCTTATTACTTGGGAATAGGAAGGTGATTTTCAACCCAACTTTTAATCTAGTTTAACAGCCCTTTATTTCTGACTTTTATGGAATAATACATTGAATTGTTTGGATTATTGTTCTTTTAATAGGATAAAATCCTCATCATATAAACATTTGATGGCTTGGTGTGTAAATTCCCGAGACAGGTAAGATGGATTTGATTTTTTTGGAGGTAGTGAAAACCACTTGCTAGAATAATAATTCTATGAGTAACTAAGCAAGCATTCATTATTGATGGCAGTGCCAAACATGCCATGTAATTAGAGCTGTAAAATTATTTCCATTTAAACCCTATTTCTGTGTTCATATATGGCATCTCATTTCTGAAAAGTATAGTCAAAATTCAACATGCCACTAAATGATGATGCATGGAAAGTACTGGCATGAGTGGCAAACCAGACTAAAATAGTAGAAGAAAAAGCAAGAATGTACAGTAGGTGGGCATTCATTTTCTTTAACCATTGGCACATTGCTGGCAAACTTGGATTAGGAGACTGCTATCCCCTTATTGTCAATTTGATCATTAGCAAGAGCTTAGTTTATCCAAAGATTCAGAGGAGACAAAGAATGATTCCAATAAGAAGCCTGAATTTTCTGCTTTTATGCTCATTTTGGGGGAAACATCTTACTGGAGGTTGTTCCTTCTGCTTCCTTCCTTTTCTAACTTTGAGCAGTTCTGTATCCTTGACAGTCATCACTTCTAATGGCAATAAAGTCTTTGGAATTGCTTCTGTCACCTCACAGAGGATTGTGAAATAAGGAAATGGCACTGCAAACCCTTGCAGCTGTTCAGATGATACAAGTTCTGACACACTAGAAAGCTTCAGGTGAATTGAAGAGCTCTGAAGGAACATTCTTTGATTGGAAGAAGTATTCAGGTTAGTTTTTAACTGATGGCAAATAAAAGAATGGTAAAGTTCATCATTAAAATTTAATATTTATTTAATATTTTTATGTGTAAAATACTGGAAGCTATGTTTCCTCCCTGGACACCCCCCCAGTTCCACTAACAATGCTTTTAAAGAGTAGGAGATGTGCATCTGTAAGTGCAAAATTATTGACTAGTAATGCATTTTTGGGAAAGTGGCTTATGCAACTGGTATGATTGTTTGGGCTGGAGCCTGAAATATTGGCAGGAATCTGAAACAGTCTGTGCCAGGGATTCTCTCTCAAAACTCTTGAGGAAAAGAGTAATAATACCAGTACCTGTATTGCTATGTGCTCTGCACAATTGTGTCTGTGATTTTTCAAGGCTATTGAACACCTTCAACCTCCTTTGAAATAACTGCTTACAGAACATCTTAGAAAGTTTGTACTTGACTTTGAATTCCTTATCATTCAAAGAAGTGTTTGTGCTGTTATTTGGATGAGTCCCACTGCAGTGTTTGTTACATATACTCAGATATGCATTTATACTGAGTTTGCAGATACCCCTTAACCTTTGATATTTAGATCTGGGGAAGTGACTTGCATCCACATCTCAGAAAGCTACATCTCTTTACTGCATCCACCAGCAAACCTTGTTTGTAGAAGTATAAGTGTAGATTTCAGGATTCTGTGATTTATAATCTACAGCCATTTACATGTTCCCATATAAGTAATTTTATTTAGATATTCAGAGAAAAACACAAACTCTGATTTACTTTTGCATCTGGAACATTTCAAAGTATTTAACTGTGTTGTGGACAATACTGTCTTATTAATTACAATTCAGATCTCTATATAGCACAGAGTTTAGAGGTCATACCATAAGCATAATACAGAATTTCAGAACAAATATTCAGACTTTCCAGAGTACAGGACTGTGGTGGACCTGAACAAAATTCTATTAATCTGTAACTTTCCATATGTGTTGCTTCCAGATGTAAAATTTATAGATTAAATGAACCGTGCTATTAGCTAAAGATCAATTTAGAAATAGGTTAAAAATGCCTTTTTCCATGTAATTTTTTTCTTATATATCAAGTATATTGATCTTGATGCACAGAAACCTTGAAACCAAAATTGAGTGTTTCCAGATTTAAGTATATGGATAAAATTTGATCACATAGTCTACACTTAGTTCTGAGGAAATAATGAAAGATGCTCCATTTTTCCACTTCTGCTTCCAGCTGATCCTGAAAATCTTGGCTGGTGGAACTTCTGTAGCTTCCCACAACTGGAGATCTCTTAATCTAAGAAAAAAATAAACACATCTTGCAAGTCACTTAAAATGCAGAATCCCTGTCTTCTGCTATATTGAATTTCCTGGCTAGACAAAGAATTTGACGGGGAAAAATCTGGATTTAATGATCTGGTCAAGCTACCACAGTTCCTCGTGTAAGATTTCTGTACCCCAGCTGCACTTGTGACCCTGACAGAAATGCAGCTGCAGCAGTGGGGGTTGCCAGCCACAAGGAAATTATGGATCCTGAAGTGAAACCAGGTGGAAAGCTTGGAATCTGATGCCAAAAATTCTTTAGACTTCTCTGATCATCATGATTTTTAAAGGCAATTAAATGAACAGCAAGGTTATAATAACACTCTTCAATAGTGTTTATGAAAAGAAGCATGAGGAACACCAGGCTAATGAGATAACAAACAAAACTGTGGTATTGTTATTGATGGCTGAATTATGATAGAAATTAAAGTTAATTTTTTTTTTTTTCTTAAAAGAGTGCAGTTAGTATTAATGCAGTTTTGAAACAGAAGTTTTGGTAAATGGCAGAATAAGCAATGCTTTGTCCATTTTTTAAAATTTGTTCAAGCTTTTGTGACAGGTTATGAAATCTTCTGGTGTAAGTTTGCTTGCATTAGTACTTGTTGGGATGGATATGAGAACAAGGAGATTTTTTCCTTATTAGAAAACAACATTGAGAAAAAAAGGGTAGTGCACAACTCCAGTTAATTTGGGATAACTGACAGTCTGTCATAACGTGCTGTTCTGTACTGAGGGAACACCTCAGCAAGAGTTCCACCTCCTCTCTGGAAACCTGGTAGTTAAGCCACTTAAAAGTGCACAGAATCAGCTGTAATGTGTGCTTCTAATGTATACCTTTAAATTGAATTACTAGCCTTCAAGCATGCCGCAGCAGCATGTATTTTGTTAATCAGGCACTGAGTAGCTGAGGCCAATTTTGTTCCTTTCCTCATTCATGTCAATACAAGCAGAAAAGAGAAGTTTTTCCTTTGAGCAACTCATGTGAGGAAGCTTTCAGTTCTCATAGAATATGAGTGCTAATTTCACTGTTACTTTTGCAGTGTCCAAGAGCAAGGATTGCTCAGAAATCATCAGAGTAGCACAAGTACTATCAGAGAAGAAACTTTATCTACAGATAAACAGTGGAAACTAGCCAGAGGATAGATGTCGTTGCAAGGCTTTAAGAAATTGAGTCAATGAATGTTAGTGGCTGGATTAATTAAATTTTAAGAAAAAAAATAATTTATCATAGCTCCTTTCTGCATCTGCCAGTTTGCAGGATTGGTATTTTTCATGTGCAGTAAACCACAGCGTGCCATCGAGTGGTGAGGCAATGAAGCAGGAGAAACTGAGCTGAGATTTGTGAGATGGGCAAATATTTAAATTAGTAAAGGCAAAGACTTCAGCAGCATCCTCTGAAATGGTGTGTATTGTGTACTGTGAAATGGAAGTGCTAGGCCAGTGGCAAATTTTTCCTGGTATGTAACATACTGCCATACTCAGGAAATGAAAAAATCCATCTAGTGTCAGTTGTTGCCTGGTGCTACTCCCTCTGTGGGTTTGTGTTCATGTATGAAAATACAGATACTCTGGTTGGTTGTGAATAAACATTAATTCATTGCTTTCAGCGTGTTCCCACCAATTTTTCCCAAGTGAAACATTGGCCTGGATTTAGTGGAAGTAGAAATATCAGCGATTTTTCCTCCATTCTCTTTCCTAGAAAAATGTATTCTAACACCTGAAAAGCTGATAAGTCATTTGGAAAGACAAAATATAGGTTGTGCCTCCAGAACTTTTTCACTGCAGTCTCTATTATTGCTGCTTCCCCCTCAGTGGGAAAATATGTGTAAATCCCTTGTGTAGATAAAGCCCAAGTGATCTCAGATCAGTAACTTCCAGTATTGACAGTGCAGTCATATTTTCTTTACTGACAGAGAAAAAAATCAAGGTCACCTCACAAAAAAGGAGGTTTTGCTTTCCCTGTATGTGGGAGGGGATTGTTTTTTTCTGCTTTGCCAGTGAGGGGTTTTATTTTTGGTTAGTTGGTTGGTTGAGGTTGGTTTATTTGCTTTTTTTGATGGGATTTTTTTTTGCTTTTTGTTTATTTTTCAGACAGTTATTGCCAATGGAAGGCCAATTAAAAACCAGGCAAACTGAGATCGACCTTACTCTTCAGCTGATGACAGAAATTGCCAGGCAGGGTTCCCAGTGACTCAGAAGCAGGGATGAATCTATTTGACATCCTAGAAACACTACTTTCTCTGGCAGAAGTTTTTATCACCCCTGTTGTTGCAAACAAAATAGGTCAGGGTCAAGAATTTGGCATTTTTCAGCAAAACTTTGTTTCCTCTGAGAATTTCCAGATAGATTCACTTTGAAGTGAGGGAGTCAAAAGGACTAAATTAGCATCTTGTCAGAGCTACTTCTCCTCCAAAAGCCTATTTAAAATACTGTGGCACAGATGCTCTCTGCCGTAACCAGAATGTTTCAGAGCAGGATGTTGTTTAAATTTTGCTTGTTCTCTCTATGTTCTCTCCCCGTGATAATGGCAGTCTTTTTGAAGAAACAAACAAATGGAATAAAAGCTGAAATAAAGCTTCTCTGGGAGCATTTGTGGGGGAATTTGTTGTGTTCCATGCTCAACAAGAAAGCCTTTGAAAAGAAGCAATTGGAGACCAAGCCCCCACTCCTTCCTCCCACATGCTCTGTCTTCCTGGGCTCACCTTTGCAAAGTGGGCAGATCACATCCTCTGCAGCAGGAGAGAAAAGGACAATCACCTGGGAAGCCAAAGAAGTTTAATCTTTTCATGGTCAGGTTTGAAGACTCATCAAGGCAACCTGAGAGGAGCTCTGTGCCACAGCAGCAGACCAAATTCTGTCACTGCTTGGAGCACTAGGGTCAGGTAGACAGCATTCCAAAGGAAATCATGTCTTCAAATTATAAAGGACAGAGGGAGAGAAAGGTCACTCTGCTTCATAGGGAATACCTCCTTTTATGTTTAAGTTCATATTTGTTGGATATTTACGGTTCAAGTCACAAGCTACATCCAAAGCATTTCATCCTGCAGAGGTCTTTCTGTGGATATGGGAGAAAAAAACAGGGAATATGCCTATTCCTCATCTGCCCTTTTTTTCCATTTTTATTTTGTCATATTTGGTTTTATACTCTTGGGTGATATACAGTTGACTTAAGCACTAAAAGGAAAAACAAAATATCTCTCGGTGTATTAAGTTTTTGAAGGTGGTTTTTGTGCACTTCTGTGTAAAACAACGTGTCACCTTCATATCCCTGATGCTTTGTCTCCAAATTAAAGTAATATTCATTTCCCCACTACATCAAGGATAGAAGTGTCACCTCAAGACCTAATTTAGGCTTTGACAGACATCAGGCCAGCAGTCCCTTTTTCCAGGCACAGATGGGCCCCATCATCACCTGCCACGCTGTGCACTAACCTTGTCAGTCCCAGCATCCAACTAAATGAACTCCTGTGGGACAAAGCAGCACAAGTACACCATGCTTTAGTGTTTTCTTCACCCCTCTAGGTGCAGTTCTTTGGCTCTGAGGAAGAGCCCTCTCCTCCTGTGGCCGCTGTAAGAATGGCATAAATCCCATTATTAGCATTAAAAGTAATAACGATCATAATATCATAACAGTATAGGTCACCTCAGGGTGTGGTGCAAAACACTAAAGCATCAAAAGAGTTCTTAATATGTCATGAAAAGTTACAGAGAGGTGCTTTGTGGTGCTTAGAAGCCAGTTAAAAGGATGTATAGCTTTTACATCCACCAGTCTGATGTCTCTTTGGTTGACATCATGCAAAGCAGTGAGCATCCTTCTTTTCAGTCAGATCTTCCTGCATTACCCCATGCCTCTTTCTTTTCCTAAGTCTTTAAACACATGAAGTAGTGTCTTTCACATGTTAATGTGACTGGTGCTTGAGTAAAATAAACCATCTAGATGGTTTTAGTGTTGCGTGTGTTGTCCTTCAGTATTCAC